TGTGGACTGTTTTTGTATTTGTTCAGGTCCTGTAGTCAGATCCTCGTTGTGTATCATTGCGCCTGTTCCTTCTGCCTCTGTTAAAGGTGTAGTTCACTGAAAACCATTTTTAAGAGTATAATCAGTCACTGAGTTTTTCATGCAAGCTGAACATGAAAATAGTCTCCTACACCTATTTGCTGCATTAGCTCCTGATAGACAATAGATGGTGAAACTCTAGGATTAGAAAAGCCTGACAGATCTATGTCACACTGTCACTTAACATTCATGGACTCACCCATCTTCACTCACGACAGGGAAAACTGCTGGTTTGGCATTTAAGAAACAGCAGCAAACATTCTGACTAGTTTAAGTTAACATTAGCAACATCACCACATGGCAGAAGCTCCTCCAGGCTTGTGTTATTTGTGGAGATTAAACATCCATGTTGCAAGTAAGAGTTAGAGTTGCATCGCTGTTATCCAATGTGAGGCAAGAGGTCCAAATTTCAGGAAACAAGACTCTAAACCTGCCGTCTGAAGCTCAGCTGTGATGTGGGTAAGTGCACCCCCGCCACCCCCACCCCCAAGTATGACTTACAATACATTCAGTCCTACTAGACACCACTGCTAATGCATTGGTTAGACAAGTGATCCACACCTTTAACCCTTCTGTGTGTTCACCTTACTTCAGTGTTCCTGATCAAAGTGGACCGCTTTGTTTTAACTGCTCTTAAAAAAGCACAAAAACTATATTTTACAGCAAATTCTTTATTCTTTTGCTGTGAACAGTCTCAAAGTAGTGTTTAATGTGTATTTATAGAATTAGAAATAATAACTGCTGTGAAAATACACATAGGAAATTAGAATGTATAAATGAACAAAGACCAAACTCAACATGAAGTGTGTGCGTGCGTGCGTGTGCATGAATTCATGATCATGAGTGACGTCTGACACTGTGGTCAGACTGAGCACAGAGAGCTCAACCCACCCAAATGTTCCTGATGGCAGCCGGTTTGTCAGCAGAAGAGTCGTGTATCTCTGTTATCAAGTCGAATAATTCTTGAAAGGACATGGAACTGGTGTACGGACTAATTGCAGTTGCCCAGATTATAGATTATACGGATTACGCATCCCACAGACGTTATGTCTGAGCGATATACTCCTGCTAAAATCAACAGACCTAGGCATAGAGGTCTACCAGGTCAGTTTCTCTCCAGGTGTCCCTAAACACACATTTCCCCTCCAGGTCTGCACTCTTAATTCCCTCAGTGGACTCTAAAAGATGAACGTGATGTTGCATGCCACGTTGGGCCTGGCGTCGTCTTTATGATGTTTTCCATGCTCTCTCTACTCCCTCTGTCCTGGGGGATGAAGACCAGAACTAGTGTCCACTTTTGGACTGGAATGTCTCGTCAGGTGCCTCTCCCTCTCCTATCTGTTTACTGGTCAGTCTCCTCAAAGTCTGGATCAAACTCTGTGTTGTTTTCCACTTCCGAGACATCCTCCTCTAGCTCTGGTTCAATTTTAGTACCCTCTAAATGTCCAAAGACCTGGACCAGAACCTCTTCCACTGTTCTGTCATGTGCCCCAGGGCAGCTGTGGCTACACTGTAGCTTATCACCATCAGTGTGTGAATGTGTGTGTGAATGGATGAATGATACACTGTACTGTAAAGCGCTTTGGAATCCTCCGACTCTGAAAAGCGCTGTACGGGTCATTTATCATTTATTTATCACAACTGCTTGGTCAGTCATCTTCTGCTCAGAGTTAAAGGAGCGCAGACACCTGTCTAGTCTGTGTGATGATGTAATGCATTGTTTCATCAGGAAGTTTGTTTGCGTGGGAGAATCGGTGGTGTGTGTGTGTGTGTGTGTGGGGGGGGGGGGGGGGGGGGGGCTCCTCTCTGTGCTTAATCTAATACCCTGTCATCATCAATAACCTCACCAGTGCTGACTGTTTGGCTTTTACAACCATGAGGGCTGGCCTTACAGCTACAGACCCTTGTCTCCATCTCTGTCTCTCAAGCTAGAGGTGTGTGTGTGTGTGTGTGTGTGTGTGTGTGTGTGCACTTGACTTCTCTCTTCAGCACACATACCCATGTGTTTCTTTATTGTTTACGTGAAGGCCTCTGCAGACCTTTAACCACCATCGCGCTACGCCCCAGTCACTCTCAGTTTGACTCCAATTCCTCATGATAATTGGCAATCATCAGGAGACAGAGGCTGAACATCTTCACCATTGAGCATCTCTCCCCTCCCCCATTCCCCAATCCTAATTGTGTCCAGGCCTCCCTTATTAACCCTCCTCACCAGCAAATATGTGTTTTATCTTTCTCTCACTAGAGGGTGTTGATGCTCCTGAAGCAGTACAACTGTATTTATTACTGCAGGTACATTTACATGCTGATGAAACAGCAGACAGGCTGTTACAGCAACGGATGGAGTAAAGACCCCCAGAGTCTTTGTATTTTTACAGCAGTTGTTTGACCATGATTCTGATGCAAGTTAGATTTTGTTTTTCCTGCTTACCATCACACTTTTGTTTAAAGGTTGACATCAAGGTTGTGAGGACATTTTACAACACATTCATAAGCGTGGATTTGTTTTGGCTGGGAAGTTACTCCCAAGACAAGCATGTTTCCACGGAATGACAAAAAACACGTAATCTACAGCAACATCAGATGCCTTTCTATTTCAAATGTTTGGTTAATTCCGTTATTTTGAATGGCTGGTTGACTTTGTGCAAACACAATGCTCACATTTCTTTTTCTTCTCTTCTCTTTTCTTTCATTTGATTTTAGCAATTTCATTCAAATAATTTATGATGAGGATCAATAGAATTTGTTCAGAGTTAAAGTTAATACCCTAAATGTGGTGATACCCATGGATTTAACTTTTACAAGGACCCTACCTGGAATCAGCTGGACCACCTGGGGTTCCAGCCGTAAGAAGCCAGGCTGGCTAAAGGTCTGTTTCTGAAAGGAGCGCACCTAACTGGCTGGAGCCATGGCGTATTGCCTTTCACACGCTTCTAAAATACTCTCCGGGCAGAGCCTGAAAGGGTTACTGTTTCCCAAAGTGCCTCATTCTGCGCAGTCGAGAGGGGGCGGCTGAGTGGCGCCGTCGAGTCAGAGACGCAGTTTCTAAAAACCCCGAGACATCATCAAGAAAGAAGCTGACAGTAAGGAAAGCAGCCAGCCCCCCCGCTGGCATGCTGCCGTGCTTCTCTGCTTACTCCCCCCACCCCCCAGTGGTTGTGTCACAATAATCGGGCGGCAAGTGTCAAATCCAGCTCTGCCCGCAAAACACACAAATCACTGGAAGATGCGCTCACTGGAAACACTTCACACAGCAGCCCAGCTCTCAGACATTCTGTCAGAGCTCTGCTGAAGTCGTTGATTGTGTTTAAGAATAAGATAAACACCATAAAACAGGCCTGTATACAGAAAACGGCTTTGATTGAGCGCGGGACTGCATGTCGCGTAATTGGCCATTTCTGTTTAATATACGCTCAGCTCTCCAATTAATAGTCTGCTAACGCGAAAAGCAGCTGACCATTGTTTTATTGGCTTTGTTATTCTCTTTCTTTCGGTTTTTTCTTCTCTCCCTTTCTCACGGGCGGTCAGACTCGAAGAGGCGCCGGTCTGCTTCATTCCACCTCTGTACAAATAGCTGAGTGGAACTTGTGTGGAGCTTCCAGACCCCAGACACGTCTCTCCCTCCTCCTCCTCCTCCTTCTCATTTCATCATCTGACACTGCTTGAAATGTCTGAATCACATTTTACGCACAACACCTCAGATCCACGAACGTGTGTGTAAAGTGTTGGAGCCATGTGCGTGCAGACGAGTGCGTCAAGCGGAGGCGCTTCTGGTGTGTGCGGCGCGTTGCGCACGCAGCAGCGTAGTAAATCAGCTCTTTCTACAAAATCACTGTGACGGTCAGGCGGTTCACACACACACACACACACACACACACACACACACACACACACACACACACACACACACACACACACACACACACACACACACACACACACACACACACACAGAGAGAGAGAGAGAGAGAGAGAGAGAGAGAGAGAGAGAGAGAGAGAGAGAGAGAGAGAGAGAGAGGAGAGAGAGAGAGAGAGAGAGAGAGAGAGAGAGAGAGAGAGAGAGAGAGAGAGAGAGAGAGAGAGAGAGAGAGAGAGAGAGAGAGAGAGAGAGAGAGAGAGAGAGAGAGAGAGAGAGAGAGAGAGAGAGAGAGAGAGAGAGAGAGAGAGAGAGAGAGAGAGAGAGAGAGAGAGAGATGCGGTGAGGTTGAGTACGCTTTCTGTTGACGGTCTGCACGCTGCCTGCTAACCCTAAACTGTGCGTTTCCACATCTTGCAAATCCAAAACAGATCTGTTTCTGGATAAACTGACATTCAACTATTACATAAATGTTCTTGAGCCACCTGAACGAGTCCAACTTCTAAGTAGCTTTTGCAGAATCTTTAAACCAGAACGTTGGAGAGGATTTTTAAACGCACACGCCCCCTTCACTTGGATGCAGACACTGTGAGCAACACTGAAAAGACAGACTTTATTGCTGAAACGTGGGACCGTAGGTATAACATGTACACTGATATGTCTTGCTTTTAAAATTTATTTCTTTATTTTTTTTAATCATTTTTAGAAATATTCAAGTAGACATCTTCCATATTTTCTGGTATATTCTGCTATTTTCCTTCCTTATGCTCTATACTCACAAATCGTTAAAATAATAAATAAAACGTACAGCTTTGTTTATTCCTACAATACTATAATATTCCAAAAAGAAAAAGCTGAGTTTACGCCTATATATATATATATATATATATATATATATTATATATATATATATATATATATATATATATATATATATCTTTTCTCAACTTCTTTTTAAGTTTATTACTGAAATTAATATAATACAAAACCTCTAGGCAGCATTGCAGTGACATAACAGACAGCATCAATGGAAAATAGAGAAAAAAGTTCACCTCTTGGAGAAGTGTAGCATATTATGAATTCCATCTTTAATGTCTCATAAAAATAAATTTATATATAAAAGCACTTCCTCATGAAGTACTTCGGTTTCCCAAAAAACAAACAAACAAAAAACAAAGAAAACACGCACACACACACACAACTTTTCAGGGCTGGAATAAAATATGGTCCGAGTCCGTTTAGAAAAAATAGCTGCATTATTTTTCCTTAAATATGTACAAGGTTGGTATTTCACTTTAAATGCTATTTTTAAAAAAATAGATTTGCTATGGTGCCCACCTCTGTAGAGAGTCAACAGTGCAATAGAGACCATGTTTCCAGTCCTCCCTCCTCCTCCTCGTCACCCCCTCACCCCCACTTCCTCCTTTAGGGGGAATCAGCACGAGCACTTGCACTCTGAGATAACTGGGTATTGCACCTGTATCCACGTACAGTATTTCTGTCTTAGAAACCCTTGGCAATACCACCTCAGGAAAATCTTGTTGACTGACTTGACGGGCTTGCAGGACATCCCCTCAGGGAAGGAGCAAGAGCGCTCCGAGAAACAGTTCCCCTCCTTGATGTAACGTGGCCAGAACCTCACGCCCAGATCCTTCCAGGTGTACACCACTGGGCAGTACGTAAAGGTCCACAGCAACTGCAGGAATTTCCTCCGGGCTTTCTTGCCCACTTTGACCCGTTTCCCATAGGGGGTCTCTGTGAGGTCCAGTTTTTTAATCTCGGTAGGCATGGGCCCTGGCTTCCCCAGGGGCTCTGGCGTGGAGATGTTCACCACTGGTAAGCTGATGGACATGAAGTTGGGATCAAAGTTGCTGCCGAGCTTTTTCCTTAGAGTCCTCTCGGCCAAGTCCTGCTCCCGAGGGTCGTACTCCGGGTCGGGGTCCTCCTTCAGGTCAGGGACGGGGAGGTGATCACTAGGCAACGGACGGAGGCGCAGGAAATGCTGGGAGACTCCGAAGTGGACGCAAACCAGCGCGTAAATGAGCAGCGTTTGCGAGAGGCCCATTATTATCCCTCCGGCTTATGCGCAGTTCTGGAGCATAAATCAGTCAGTTCTCAGAGTTAGTGCGCTGCCTGTGAGGCAAGGCTTCATAAAGAGGCGATACTTTTAATAGACCTCTGTTGGGTTTGGAAGGCAGCGTGGGCTGATATGTGCAGCTCTGCTTTGGAGCAGACGCACAGACAACCCCCACGGAAAAGCGCAAAAAATGGGGAAAACTGCAGTCTATTCAGGCGCTCTGCTGCCTCACCCCGCTCCTTGGATTCACTTTGGGTTTCTTTCGGTTGTCATGGTTACCGCGGAGACTCGAAGTGTCTGCACTGGATGACAGCGGCCAAGGCGAGAGCAGCGTGGAATGAAGTGTTTTCAGAGGAGACGAAACAATCCAGCGCTCTTCACCAAGTTTTATTTTTCACGCGTCCGGTGCCGGCAGTGACTTTATTTTTACGCACGCGGCTTTCTCTTCACGTCGCCGGACGCAGTCGGCTTTGACAAAGTCCCAGGACGTACAGTCCATGAACCGAGAGAGGACTGTATAGAAATGGCTTCTTGTATTATCCCAGCAGCGTATATGTGCGCTTGGAAACGTCCAGAGATGCGCAAAACCAGCTTATGAAATTGGAGCCATTTATCTTTCCAGAGGAGGATCCAAAACGTGGATCAGTTTTCCTTGAAATGAAAGTCTGAGGTTGTTCCACAGAGATCCTGGCTGAGCATCAGATGAGAGAAATGAGAACGCGTCAGAAAATGCAGCAGCTCCTGTGCGTTTCAAGGCTGCAAAAGACAACAATAGTTCAGATTTCTCCTCAGAAACGCTTCACACCGCGAGGTCGCTGCATGATGACACAGTCCATCACAGTCTGGAAAGTCAGATCCTGGGGGCTCCTGTCCGCTCCTCTGCCTTCTACTGAGTCGCTCCCACTGCAGGAGTCTGAGAGACTTGGCGCTGGAGCATTTCTTTGCTTAGGCACACTGTGTGTGTGAGTGTGTGTCTGCAGCGAGAGGAGCGCAGTCCCAAGTTAAATATCCCCCCTCCGACTGCACCAAGTGTCAGAGGGGCCTGCCCACCCGAGCCACTTTCTCTATGATTGACAGCCACGGGGTCCCCCCTTCCCTCTCCTCTCCTCCCCGCCCCTCCCCTCCTCATCCCCTCACAACGTGGAAAATATCAGCCACAATGACGGATCAACTGGGTCCTAAAGCACCGGTTCAGCCTATCCCAAGACATGCACTAGAATAAATCAGATGACCTTATAAAGACCACCGAACTTCTGTTTCTATTTCATCATCACAGCTGTGACGCACCAACAGGTTGGGCGCGCGCTCGCGCGAAGGAGTTTCCTTGGCTTGAACTTTCTCATGAAGTTGATGGGAATCGTTTGAGTTGCTGGTTTGCGTAAAGAGGGCATCACATTCCACCTTTGTTCGTCGGGATTTGGGTCCACACAGGAACTGGCCCGTTGAACCCAGAGGTCACAAAACAGGCACGTAATTAAGGGCTATAAATGGCCTCGGAGAGCTGAGCGGCACCTTTCACACACTGAGCAGCAGCGGCAGGTCACGCTGAACTCTTAAATGCCCATCAGCCAATATAAATATTCTGATCTGTTCGGTTTATTATTGCTGCAGTCAAACCATTTAATCAGCTTTAGTGGCCCAGTTTAAAATAAACGTGTTTTGTTTTAATTTAGGGAAAACATAAAATAATCTGAGCAACCACACTGAGTTTCTGTAAGACCCAACATACCTTTTGGAGTAAATAATCTGTTTTTATAATGAAAAGGACCCTCAAACGGGAAATCACCACATTTAGAAGTGTTTACCTTCTGGATTCTTGGCTCCTGCATTATTAATCTTGCATTATGGGCAGGCTGTCATTGTGCTTTCCTTTTGTGGTGATCACTAGAGGGCGTTGATCCAGCATGGTATGGACTCTCTCCTGTCTGGTTCACTTGTTTGAATGCATGGAGAAAGAATGCTCACTCCCGTTTGCAATCTGTTCACCAACTCTGGAGCAAAACTTCTCACAAATATATTTTCAGACAATGAAGCTAAAGTATTTTAATCACTTTGAAAGAGACATGGAGTTAATCCCAATAAGGGATAATATTAAATAAAACTTAGGACACTTTGTTGTCTGGGCACCCTGGTGACATGCTCAGTGATAAAGGGGCTAATAATTAGGGCTCTGATGTAGACAGAACCCAGTGGGCAGTGGGGACAGTAAGGATGAACCACCCACTGTAGAAATGGCTCGTCCCATTGTCTTCCTCCAAAGGTCTTTGGGTGTTATGCTGGAAAAAGAAACCCCATGCAGGGAGAAGCTCTTCCCCTCCTCCTCATCTCAAGCACTAATAAGCAGCCCAGCAATAAGTTGACCCCCATTCCCTGGCTAATTACTGGGGAAAAAGACAAGGAGAGGAGGGAGACCGGAACAAGTGGTGATGGTGTCAGGGAAGAGTTGATGATGAGGATGGTGGCTTAGGCAAGGAGGGGAGGAAGACAGTGGCAGTGCCGGTTGGTGGGCTTCTGAGGAAGGGCTAATTAAATAAGGACTTAAAAGGCTCGTTTTAACGAAGCTCATCAGCGTCTGGTGACTGGGATGCTGGGCTGGGGGTGGGCAACACGATTGAGGTGAGAGGTGGGACCGGTGCTGAAAATTGGGCTTGTATAATAAGGGGACTTAGCTCTTTGGTTTTGCAGTGATTGTTCACGCTCCCTTAGGCCTCAATAGGGTACATGTGAGGGTGTGGGGGGGGGCTTCCCTTAGGCACTGATTGGACCCACTTCTCCTCATTTACACACACATTTACACCAACACGGAGGACAGTCACAAGCACATGCTCACTAACAGCTCCATACAAAGGCCTCTGTCCAAGGTCCACACAGGAGCTTATCCTGCACAGGGGCACAGCAAGGGGCAGGCCTGGCCAGACTGGCTGACTGTGCCCACTGGGGACTGGTGGAATGGCACAGAGAGGTGGATGGAGCCCAACGATTTGGCAACGTAGGAGGAAACTAAACACCAGAGTGTTTCAAAAGAAAGGAGAAATCCCAGAGAGAAGCAAAAAAAAAAAAACAAAAAAAAAACAAAGATGTACAATCAGCTTTTTATTTCTTTTTACATGTTTAAAACTGTATTGAGGTGGTCGGGGAGCTCCGAGGGTGAATGAAATCCGCCGTGCAGTATCGCTTGGACATCAGGGGCAGTTCAGCTGGATTGGCAGACTGGGTTGGTGGTTTCCCTATTTAAAAGGGGGACGACATGCGTTCCAACTACAGGGGTATCACACTCCTGAACCTCCCGGGCAGGGGTGGACTGGGCCAAAAATGGGCATTTTTATGAACCGTTAGCCCTCAGAGCGGGGGTGGCGTTCTGGTTGCGCTGCTCATGGACTCTGTCTATGCCGTCGAATATGAGAGCGGGGGGATGTGCTGTTTGCAGACTCGTCTCCATGCCGCCAAATGTGTAGGGGGGTGCTGCTCGTCGTTGTGTCAGCCAAAGCTGGGCAAGCGGCCCACTGGGAGTCCACCCCTGCTCCCAGGTAAGGTCTATTCAGGGTTTCTGAAGAGGAGGGTCCGGCGGGTTGTCGATCCTCAGAGTCAGGAGGAGCAATGTGGTTTTTGTCCTGGCCGTGGACCACTGGACCAGCTCTATACCCTTAGGGGGATCCTGAAGCGTGCGTGAGAGTTTGACCAACCAATCTACATGTGTTTTGTGGATTTGGAGAAGGCGTTCGACCACATTGGAGGGTCCATGTGGGGGTACCAGGCCCTCTGATGAGGGCTGTTAGGTCCTTGTATGACTGGTGTCAGAGCTTGGTCCGCATTGCAGTGAGAGTTGGACTCCGCCAAGGCTGCCCTTTGTCACCGATTCTGTTCATAACTTTTATGGACAGGATTTCTGGGCGCAGCCAAGGTTTTGAGGGCATTCGTTTTGGTAGCCTAAGAATTGAGACTCTGCTCTTTGCTTTTGATGTGGTCCTGTTGGCTTCATCAGAACATGATCCCCGACTCTCACTGGAGCGGTTCAATGCCATACGTGAAGTGGCTGGGATGAGAATCAGCTCCTCTAAATCCGAGACCATGGTCTTGAGTCGGATACGGGTAGAATGCCTTCTCCGGGTCAGGGACAAGGACCTGCTGCACCCAAGTGGAGGAGTTTAAGTATCTTGGGGTCTTGTTCACAAATGAGGAAAAGATCGATAGGTGGATTGGTGCTGCGTCAGCAGTGATGCAGGCGTTGTATTGGTCTGCCATGGTGAAGAGAGAGCTGAGCTGGGAGGCAAAGCTCTCAATTTACCGGTCTATCTACGTTCCTACCCTAACCTACGGTCACAAGATTTGGGTAGTGACCAAAAGAAAGAGATCTTGGATACAAGCGGCCGAAATGAGTTTTTTTTCGCAGGGTGGCTGAGCTCTTCCTTAGAGATAGGGTGAGAAGCTTGGCCAAGTGTGGACAGAGCAGCCACTACTCTGAAGTTGCAAGTTGAATATTCGGACACGGGGCGATAGGGGCAGGGTGGCCATACAATAACACTGTAAAGAGTCATTTTACCGGCACAAGGAAATAATTTAACCCTCTGGTGTCAATCCACATGCCAGCACGTGATGGCGCGCTGGTTGCATTACTCACATTAGTATGCAACCAGGAAGCCACATAGCATCATGGTTACAGCTTGTTTTGACAAAGGGGGCCTAAAACTAAATAAAAGTCGTGATTTAACGTGTTTATCCAAGTCAAAGTAAGACATTTAGGGTATATAATTCATGCTAAGATAAAGGTGCTTTTGCGCATTCGATCTGTGGCAGATGCAGAGCAAAATCCTACCAACGGAGCTCTCACTGCTTTTCGCTAGGACTCGGGAGTCAGGAAGAAACACAAGACTGAACTCATCCTACAGGCTGAGATGTGAACCAGACCACCCAATCACAAAATCACTCCTAATTTGTTCACCCAATCACAAAATAATGTGTAAATTGTTGCTAGGGGCAGGCAGGGAAAACCTTCTACTTCAGGGAGCGTTTCCAGGTGGACAAAGTCAGAAAGGACACCCACTGGATTTGAAAACACTCTGATGTTCCCTGTGTGTTACCTTGAGGCTTGGCACACATAAACGATGGCTTTTGGTCATGTCACCTTCTTTGTATATATATATATATATATATATATATATATATATATATATATATATATATATATATATGTGTGTGTGTGTGTGTGTGTGTGTGTGTGTATATGTGTGTGTGTGTGTTTGGACAAACAGTTCTTTGTATTGTACTTTTACCTGTAAAGTCACTAAATCAGAAAAAGTTTTTATCCAGATGTCCACTGGAGAAAAGTCTTAAGAGGTTTTTGGAAGACTTGCTACTGTTCACCCATTAGTCTTCTGTGTGTGTGTGTGTGTGTGTGTGTATATATATATATATATATATGTATATATATATATATATATATATATATATATATATATATATATATATATATATATATATATACATATATATAATGTAAATATAAATATATGGATGTAATTTAGTGTAATTTAGTGGCTTGCTAAATTTGACCCTGTCTTCTGCTGGACATTTTTGGAAGTGGCAGAGGTTGACAGCAGAAAGTGTGGAACTCCATTTTCAGCATAACAGCAATTTTACATGAAAAACAACTGAGACATGCCTTGCATTTTTATGAAAAATATTTACATTTAACAGATGTTTGATACATTTGACCTTTTTGTGTTTTACTCACACCCTATAGTTTTATTCTAAGAGCTGAAAAATTTGTTACAAATGTTTGTGCTTTTCTTGTAATAAATATGTCATTTTTCTACCGTACTCGGATTTTGACTTTTTGTTTACTTTCAGGTTAAGTGTGCTAATACAGTATGGCAAAATGACGAAATGACTAAATTCACATAGGTGAGATTGTGCTGAAAAGAATGATTCCAAACAAAGCATAAACATTGAAATATTGAGTTTAATATAATATAATATAATATAATATAATATAATATAATATAATTAATATAATATAATATAATATAATATAATATAAAACTTGTCAAAACA